GAGCTAAGAAGTTTCTTGGGACTCTGTACTTATTACCGGAAGTTCGTGAAGGACTTTGAAACTATAGCTGCTCCACTACATGATTTGACTAAAAAAGGCCAGAAGTTTGAATGGACAGTTTCTTGCCAGTATTCTTTCAAGACGTTGAAGCTAAAAATTGGCCTCTGCTCCACTTTTAAAGCTTCCAGATCCCTCACTGCCGTACATACTGGATTGTGATGCTAATAATGTCGGAATTGGAGGAGTAATGTCTCAGAAAGTGGGCGAAAACGAAAATGTGGTGGCCTACTTCAGTAGGATTTTGAGTAGACCAAAGAGGAACTACTGTGTAACACGGAGGGAACTCCTTGCTATAGTAAAGAGTCTGACATATTTCCACCCTTACCTCTATGGTGCAAGGTTTACCATTAGGACAGACCATGCTGCGTTACGCTGATTAAGATCATTAAAGAACCCAAAGGGACAACTAGCACGTTGGATCGGAAAAATAGACCAGTATAATTATAATATTGAATATAGAGAAGGAAAATCCCATGGTAATGCTGATGGATTGAGCCGAAGACCCTGCAGAAATGACTGCAGACATTGCTGCAAAACAGAGGTTGAACTAACCAGGTGCCATCAAGCTGAAGTCAAGTCGACTGAAAGAGTTGATGATGGTGAAGTGGAACCAAATATAGATATCAAAGCAGAACAAGAGAAAGACCAAGATTTGAAGCCAATTGCGTCCTGCTTGGGAGAAGGTGTCTAGTCTAAGCCCTGTGACAAAGAACTATTGGGCACAATGGGACCAGTTGAAACTTGAAGATGGTATTCTTCTCCGGAAATGGGAAACTGCAGATGGGAAAGTGACGACCTGGCAAACGGTTATACCGAGAAAGTTACGGGAAGTTGTGCTGCGTCAATCCCATAATACTGTAACAGGAGAACATCTCGGAGTTAAGAAAACATTGAGTCACCTACGACACAGATTTTACTGGATAGGTATGAGACAAGATGTTGAAGAATGGTGCAGAACATGTTGTGCTAAAAGGGGACCCAAGTATAAGGGACGTGCTCCAATGAAGTTATATCAAGTTGGTGCACCAATGGAAAGAGTAGCCGTCGGCATTGCCGGTCCTCTGCCTCAAACTCGTGCTGGAAACAAGTACATTTGTGTGGTGATGGATTATTTCACCAAGTGGCCTGAGGCATATGCAATACCAAATCAGGAAGCTACGACTGTAGCTTCGGCTATTAGTGATTTCTTCTTCAGATTTGGTATGCCATATGAACTGCATTCAGATCAAGGCCGTAACTTTGAATCAGCTGTGTTCAAAGAATGCTGCAAGTTGTTTGGCATACGAAAGACCAGAACAACGCCACTTCACCCATACTCTGATGGGATGGTAGAAAAGTA